CTTCAGATATATAATCTATATGAAACCTTACAATAAATGGAAAACTTTTATCTTCTACAGACACAAACTTCATTCTACGAAAGCCAATAGCTTTTGTGACAGATGGGTCTCTTAGCCATCTAAGTGGGTAGTCAAAACGATAGCCTTCATGCTTTACGGTCTCTGTCTCAAACTTTTGACCGACATTCGTAAAAGTTCATCTAATGGTTTAGTTGTAGCAACTCTTGAATTTTCTTTTTCTATTGGAAGCATATTTTATCTAGAATAAAAATGTCGAAAGAAACAGCGTCTATGAGAGAAATACAACACAACCGACAACTCATTATGCAAGCTCTAAATAAGAACACAACAAACTTTTCAAACTATTCTAAGATATCTGAGTCATTGAAAGAAGGAAACTTAAAACTGACGATAAACCCAATGACAGACGAGTTTCTGTTTCAAGACAGTAAGAACCATACTGTTTGTATAAATCCAACAAAAAGAACTTTAAACGAGAAACCTATAGATGAACTTCTTTTGAAGGCAGATATTGACAACAAAGCTGACAAAGAGTATGTCATTGAAAAAGTTCAAGAAGAACATGACAGAGCAGATGCAACATATGCAACGAAAGAACATACTCATCCTGAACTAGCAGATAAAACATATGTTGACAATAAAATGTCAAGTGAAGTGACAAGAGCTGACAAAGAATATTCTAAAAAGACTCATACACATACCATTGCAAATATTACAAACTTACAAGAAACCTTAAACAGGAAAAGTGACGTTGGACATACACACGATTTCTTCGCAACTGTTGGTATAGAAAATATTGCAGGAACGGTTGAAGAACCTGATGGAACTGGTGGGGATGTATTAAATTGGAAACTCCTAACTTTCCACAAGGTTTAACATCGGAGGATGACATAACAACGATGAAAGACATTAAATGTAGAAATGTCTATGTCATGGAGGATGAAAACAAAGTTAAATTCACTGCTCAAGATTTAATGATAAAAAAGCTGACAAAACATATGTTAACGATGAGTTAGATAAAAAAGCTGACAAAACATATGTTAACGATGAGTTAGATAAAAAAGCTGACAAAACAGAGCTTCAAACGTTAAAGACAGAAATACTTCAAACACTATATCCTATAGGCTCTATTTATACGTCAATGAACTCTACCAGACCAGAAGTAGTACTTGGTTTTGGAACTTGGACTCAAATAGTCGACAGGTTTTTGTATTGTGCAAACTCTTCAAAGGAAACAGGTGGAAGTAAAACGATTTCAGGTGCAAATTTACCTGCGCACAGTCACTACATAAATTTAAGTACATCTGAAGCAGGTTTGCATAGTCATAGATTTTGGGATTGGTCAGGAATGACAAAAGGTAAAGGATATGATGTTAAAGAGGACGTTAAGTTTGCTATAAATTGTTACTGGAGTAACACTGAGGTAGGGAGGAAGCCATACACATCGCGTTTCAGGGTATACGCAAACAACGGGACAGAGTAAAGACTACATGCCACCTTACATGACAGTTTACGCATGGTATAGAAATGCTTAGTCGTCATTTTCAACTTCTTTAGCATATTCGTCAGGAGTTGTCTTATATTTGTTAGGAACTGTCTTTGAAAGTATACCACCTTGAACTTTGACAAGTTTGAAACGAGGTCTGACAATAGTAGTTTTATCTTTGCTTGCAGTGTGTACATTTTGCCATGTTTGCCTAAAACTTCATAATATTCTCTTGTATACTTTCTTCTATTTTTACGAACACGAATGCGAGTACCTGTCGAGTTCCATTGTTGTCATAGTCAATAGTATTTTCATATGGGTCGCGTTTAGGTATTTCTATTTTTACTTTGTCACCTTTCTTAAGTTTGAAGCCTGGCATTCTTTCTTGTTTGTCTCTTTTGACTAAACTATTAAATATATAGTCTTTCTCTAAGTCGGGGTTGTTTTTCATTTCTTCAGGGGAGTGGTTTCCCAAACCTTTTTGTTTACGGCTATTGTAAATATTTAAAACTTGTCTCATCTTTGCCATGGAGAAGTGTCTATATTTGTCGTCATATGACATTTCATCTACCTCACCACCTTGTGGTTGATTTAAGTCTCTTAAGATTTTTATACAACTGTCAATGACACCAAGAGCAGAATGGTTTTGGTCGACAATGAAATATTGGTTTACATTTTTTGAACGCAGATAGTTTTTAATATCGTCTGATTTGAAAGAACGTTCACAGTCAGATGTCAGTTTTGTTGGATGGTATTTGTCAACAATATTGTCAAAGCAGTTTTCACATCTAAAATATTTTTGGACTGTAATGGTATGGCTTCACAGTATCTTGTGTTTTGACCGACAAATATTAGCCAGTATGGTGGTCCATTTCTCTATACCTCGGAATGTTTTCCAAGATATCCATAAACCAAGCATTTGGTGTTGAACTAAAGAATTTTATCATGAGTGCTTTCTTTGTTGCCTTAGAAACATAGGGTCCTTGTTTGGATTCGTCATTTTTTACCCTATAAGAAATGGGTTTATTTGGCGCATTAGCAGGAGTTGCATCCAGATTTTTGCCCGCAGTGGAACAATAGCCAGAGGTGCATTTGGAATTGGAAGGAAGATTTTGAGTACATTAGGTATACTTAAAGAGAAAGCACAACCTATTATACAAACTGTACAGAAAGGTTGGGATGTAGCACGAGATGCAGCAAATCTTATTCCAAATCCTGAAACAAGAGGAAAAGTTCAAGGATGGATGGACAATGTAGAAGACAAGCAGGAAACTACTATAACAAAGCAAATGACTACTATAACCAAGCAGGGCACTACATGGACCAAGGTGAAAGATTCTTTAACAGAGGATATAACCATGCACAACAGTGGGTAAACAACAACCAACGCAACCGCCTCAAACGTGGGGAATGTAAAATTTTTTTACTGAGATGAAATGAACAATACAGCATTGAGACAAATGGGCTCAAGATGGATTTGTCGGCTTCCAGCAGTTACACAACCACGTGTTTGTCAAGTTCTTCCTATACCTCAAGAAGTTTTAGACCGACTTAAAAAACCTAAACAACCAGTTGAAAACAAACCAAACTAAAATTTTTTACTGAGATGAAATGACCGAAGAAGTTGAAACGGTAGATTTGACACCACAAACAAAAAGTTCAGAACCATTGTCAAAACCTGTCAAAGACTTACAGATGAAGAGAAAAATTCAATAATAGAAAGTGCCAGGTCTGGAAATACAAACCCTAACTACAAAGTCACTTTTCATAGAAATGGAACGGCTAGTATCTCAAAAAAGAAACAGACTCTCACAAATAAAATATTGAAGTCTGAAGGAGCTTTCGAGACAACAGATGGAAAAGTTTACTTCACTGACCAACAGTTCATTATAGAACATCTCATTGACTTAGAGTCGAAATATTCTAAACTTTACAACAAACACAAAAAGTTGAAAGGAAAACAAAAACAAATGGCATATGATATTATGAAGATGTTGACGAACAACCATACCTGCAAGTGAGGTAAAGTCAGAGGAACCGAAAAGTGACGAAAAACCGATAGAAGAAGGGAAGCCAAAAACTGAAGATAAACCAAAACCAAAGGTTAGTCAACCTTCATTAGTGGTATGGGTTGGTCAAAGACTTATGGCAGCCGGTGGTTACGTAAAGTAAAGAAAAAAAACATTTTTTTATTTTTATAAAAATGCCCCATATAGAATGGATAGAAAGTCTGCTAGAATAAAAGCAGGTTAGAAAGATATGGTTGGAAAGTTTCGAAGAATTTTAAATATAGGAAGGAAGACCCATAAAAGTCTATGACAAACTGTCTGGTCTTCGCTATGAAATGGACTTGGAAACAGCGCGCGCCAATTATCCAAACAGACTAGAGAGGTTAGAAGAAGAACGTCTTATGGACATGCCTTTCGATGTTTCTGAACCTCAAGTTGAAGGACACGACGGCTTTGCAGATTCTACTGGAAACACGCGAAACAATTGCATCCTTTGAGAAGGAAAAAGGAAAAGGTGAAGACAAACATGCTCCCATGGAAAGAACAAGATATGATATGAAAAGTACGTGAAGTTAGAAGTCAAATTACATCTGGTCGAACCTTTACAGTAACTTTGACGAAGGAAAGAACAAGAAGGTTCATGGGAGTACTTGCTGCCATACAAGACGGAAATAAGAAAGGATACAATCTCAGACTAACCGTAACAGATTTGGACGGTCATATATACTATGCACATGGCAATGTCACAAAGCTGCAATGCTTCTTGACGCTTTCAAGACTACAAAGAGAGAACAAATGGTTGACTCCGACTCAGACATTTTGAATGCAATTGAGGAATTGCAAGTGTAAAATTTGAATGGTACCAACCTAACCCTCAAGCAGTCAGACAACATGCTGGATACTTCCCGTTCATAAATAAGTCTGACATTGACTTGACAAGGTATGGAATTTACAATTCAATTGAAACAATTGTCAATGAACCTTGTATTCTTACATGTCTCAGGAACTCTGGTCTTGTTACAGATGAGAAGATGAAGTATCTTGAGTCATGTGTGAAGACAAGGTACATTCTCAGAGGTCAATTGGCAAAAGTTGCACCGTTGGCAAATGTCAATATCCGAGTCAACATACCTACAGCTAAAGGTTCTTCACATGACGACTATGTTGTTGACAAAGACTTACCATGGTTGAAGATTGTAATTGTCCACAACCACTTCATGTTGAACGAAAGTCTTACAAACCCATTGTTCGGAAAAGGCAAGTGCAACATTGTCAGAGCTGTAAACATTCTTTTCGAGAAAGGTTTGTTGGAACCAATTCCAGATGACAAGCTGACAGAAACTTTTGTACCAAAAGACGAAACAAACTTTTCATTGTTAGCAAGACCAAAAGTTGTTCCAGACAAAGTTCTAGCACAAAAGAAGTACACAGTTCCAAAAGGAGTTGGATTGTTCGGATACCAACCTGAACCAGAAGAACTTCCAATGAGGTTGCAAGAACTTCAAGATGCTATAAACAAACTTCCATTGAGACATCCAATTGACGTCAAATTGTATTGGAGAGCATCTGAGTTAGGTCAGAAGGTTTTATATGAAACAGGTTGCTTCGACGATGTTTATGAGATAGCAGGCGAAGTTTCTCAGAAGATAAGAGACTCACTTGAATTTCCACGAACTGGACCCATTGGTTGCGACAAGTTCGACTCAGATGAAAAGATATACTATGTCGACCTTAACGCTGCGTACATGAGGTTCGTCCAATATATCCCGACTGGAATTCCAAACGAAGACGGTGAGTTCCCAGGAAGGAACTATACAGTTGGAAAAGTCATACAACAACTGTATGATATTAGGAAAGCTTCAAACCCCAAACTTGCAATGACACTCAAATTGCTTATGAATTCGACATGGGGATATTCCATTAAGAAACCTCAAAAGATGAAGAGTAAACACTATGAGAAGGTCGACAACTTTGTTGAAAGGTTCTCCCCTTTTGTTTTGAAATACGAATTTACTCAAGGTCAAGGTGGCTTAGTAACCACAGTAAAACCTATTGTCGAACATTGGTCTTACCCTCAGTTCGCAAAGGCAGTCCTTGACAACTACAACAAATTCTTCTCCGAAGTTAAATCCAAAGTGAAGGTTTACTATGAGAACATCGATGCGCTCATGACGAACGAAGAAGGCTATAACAAACTCATTGAAATGGGAATGGTCGGTGAAAAGATGGGTCAATTCAAATTGGACAAAATTTTCACCGAAGTTCATGTCCTCTCCAAGCGTAAGTACTGGGGCATACTTGAAGACGGCACAGAAATAAAACATTGCATGAAATAAAAAATTTTTATTCGAATTTGAATCGGACAGGTCGAGTTACACCATTCTTGGTCTCAAACTCATATATAACCTGTTTGTCTGTATTTTCGTCGACTATGGCACGAGACACGAACATTGACCAAACGGACAAAAAGTGTCATTTCGGATGGTCCCGCAGCCAATCGCATTCGAGCACTTCGAAGAAGCCTTACGTTCCAAGGGAGAGGGTGTCTGGTGCAAGGCAGAGGTCATGAGACTCTACGAGCAGTACATCCTCAATGCCTGGGAGGACAAATCGTCCTTGGAATGGCAATTCTACCAACTCCTCTGGGACGACCTCCTACGCAACTGGGATGACGAAAGAGTCCAATTCAGAGGTCAGGAACTACTTGTCCAAATTATCCTTAATTTAAGCCGCTTACGCAACTAAAAACTTAAATTTACTCGGGGTTTCCCCCTAAAATAAAATTTTTTTACTCTTAGAACCACTCGAGGTTCTCCTTACGGTTGTTGAGCTTGTCACCGTCAATGTGTCTGACCTTCGTCCTCTTGTTTGGATTTGGAACCCATTGAATTGCGACAAGCTTGCCCATGGAGATTGAACCGTAATTCCGAAGGGTAAGGTTCAAGTGTCCCAAGTTGTTGAGAACTGGGGTAAGAACCTTGCCGGTCTCCTTGTTGCGGATTTGGTATGGGTAGGGTTGGGAAATTTCGTAAGTGTCATCGGCAACAAGGGTTGCCCAAACTTCCTCTTCTTCGTGTTTCTCTTCTTCCTCTTCTTCCTCTTCCTCTTCTTCGTGTTTCTCTTCTTCCTCGACAATTCCTTCGGCAATTCTGTGTTCACGAAGTACGGTGTTGGAGGTTCTGTCCTTTCCGAGTACCTTCCAGATGGCGTCTATCTCTTCGAAGAAACGGTAGATGAGTCTGGCAAGGTCTCGGTTCTCTCTCGCGTAAATGCGCAAGGTTTCCGTCAAATCGTTCAGGACTTTCTCATTGGAAGCTTGGTTCATGAGGAACTCACCTTTAAGTCCCTTCATCTCTTCCATAAGACTACTTTGGAGAGTCTTAACGGTGTTTGTCAGATGAGCTTTCAAATTCAAAATTTGAATTTGAACTGGGCGCTTGTCTGGCAACATTGAAAGGACATCTTCCATTGTGTTCGGCTTCGGTGCTTGTTCGGACATCGAAAAAATGAAGTGGTTTGAGAATGACGGTTTTACTTCAAAAAGCTTGTTATGACGGTTAAGTCATACAACAAGTTTAAAATAATATCTTGTTCTTCTTCTGAACGTTTGTTGTCTCTTCCGATAAAAGTTTCGAACATGAGAACCAAAAAACGTTTTTTGAGATTGCGGAAGAGTTCAGGCAAACGTTCATATTCTGGATATGTTGGGAGCAGTTCAAAACATCTGAGCTGACTTTCGGACAAAATTGGGACAATGTCAGAAAATTCATCTTTGGTCGGACTGCTTGAAGGTAAGTCCCTTACATGTAAGTAGCTCTGGTAAAGTCTTCTCATTTCTGCTAACTTTTGGAGTATAGCTTCGTAGTTTAGAAGTTTTAATTTTAATTGTCTTATTCCACTCTTTACTTCTAAACGGTAAGTATCCATGAGGTCAAGAGTAGCTTTGGTAGCTTTAAGTGGAGCTATTTGTTCCTTGACTTCTGCAATTTTGGTTGCAATTGTGGTTTGAGCTCCTTCAAGTTCGCCGTCTATGTCGTTCTCAACACCTTCAACCATAGCTTGAAACTCTTCATCGGTCCATTGAGTTTGGTGTGGGACGAATTTAACTTGCTTCATTCAAAAAATGAAAAAAATGTTTTTACTACTCAAAGCGTGCCATGTATATGGCTATAAGAAACTTACCAGAAGGCTTCTTCTTCACATGAGTCTTCGGCAACTTGAGAGTTCTTGTTGGAGTTGGGTCTGGAATTTCAATTCTCTCTCGAGCGCAACAACAGATGTCAGAATAACATTCCCCACTGTCTTTCTTGCCACCATAAATTGTGTATTGACCGAACTTGCATTTGCAGGAAGACCGGTCAATACAAGGTTCACAGTTGAAATAGTTGTACACAAACCTGTTGAGTACGAGTGTGAGTAAAAACATAAAAAAAGTGAAGTTAAAATGAGATGTTTACTGAATTGGTTGGATGTCGCCTTCTGAGGTTATGAAGAACGGCTGTCCAGAGTAGTGAAGTAGTGCTCTGAGAATTTGTGTAATTCGTGGAATTGGGCTCTCACGATATGGAAGTAGTATCCAAGGACGTTTCATGAAGAACTTCAAGAGGGCTTCTTTCTTCACATCCTTAATATCATCGAATGCAGTGCCTTCTGGAACTTGAATTGCAACACCTGTTTCAATTTCCAACTTTAAGACACTATTCTTGGACAACCAGAAGCCAATGGACTTGCTTGGTTTGCACTTGCTGAGATATTCCTTCACGGTTTCATTTACCTCAATTAGATAAATTGCTTCGTCTAAGGGGTCAAGCTCCATACTGAGTCAGTACAATATTGTACTTTTTCAAGACAATGTTGTACTTTTTCAAGACAATGTTGTACTTTTTCAAGACAATGTTGTACTTTTTCAAGACAATGTTGTACTTTTTCAGAACAATGTTGTATAAATTCAGTACAATGTCTCTCAAATTTGAGTACGGCTGTACTTTTTCAGAACAAGTCTTGAACTTTTTCAGAACAATGTTGTACTTTTTCAGAACAATGTTGTACTTTTTCAGAACAATGTTGTACTTTTTCAAGACAATGTTGTACTTTTTCAAGACAATGTTGTACTTTTTCAAGACAATATTGTACTTTTTCAAGACAATATTGTACTTTTTCAAGACAATATTATATTGTTTCAGAACAAAGACGGTTAAGACACAAACGAATGTCCGACGTCCCACCTACTGAACCCGTTCCACAGCCAGAAGAACAGCATGCTCCAGCACCACAACAGGTTCCACCTCCACAAGGCTCCCCACAGCAACCTCAGTTCCAACAAGGACCTCCGAATTACTACCAATTTCCACCTCAAGGTTACTACCCACCACAAGGCTTTCCAAACTACCCACCACAAGGCTTTCCAAACTACCCTCCTCAACCCATGCCTTACTTCCCTAACCCTTGGATGTTCATGTCAAACCCTCCACCCCAATTCAAATTCCAATCTCAGTCCAAGAGAGACCAAGAGTTCGAAGAAGGTCTGAACCGTTTACGCAAAGAGTATGCCACAGCCCCTATGGAAGAAGACAGGCTCTCACTCTCTTCCCTCAAATCGACCGATTCGACTCGTACCACAGATTCGGTTCGTGACCGTGAAGACTACCTCAAGCAGTCTGAGAGACTCTTCATCCTACAACCATTTACAACTGGAGCTCTCAAGAACATGCGCAATTACGAAGGTCAGACACCAGCTGGAGACCGTAAAACAGACGTACTCGCAAGAGCAGTCCAACTGGTCAAGACAAAGACCGAGATAGTCGACTTCATTCTTGCAGCTTGCCCATACAAGTAAAAAAATAAACAATTACGAGTTAAACTTTTTATTCTTTCTTTTCTGAGTTGTTTAGAGCTGGTTTCTCTTGTAGAAACCTTTCGTACTCTTCCATGGTCATGTAATTGCGAATTTGGTACGCAATTCC